TGCCTTCCACAGCAATTATTTTTAGTTAGCATGTAGCTAAAATCTAACCATGGTTATATAATAGCAGCTGCATTCTGGCACGATAAGCTGTATGTTTTATATTCAATTAATGTATGATCTGATTAGTCGACTAATCGAAAAAATTATCGATGATTAATCGACTATAAAAACAATCGTTTGTGGCAGCTCTATACTATACAGAACTTTTCTACAGAACACCACTGCAAATTAGCTAAAATATCCATTTCAGGTCACCACAGGTCTTTAAAAAAATCCAACAGAAGCAGGACAGACCAGTTATTACACTAAAACAGTTTAGGAGTAAAAAATAAAACAAAACATGACAAATCTAAAAAGTGAGAGCAGTGGAAAAAGAACTGATGTTAGTATTAAAAACACACAAAAAACAAAAAGGAAATCAAGGAATTGAACAGAACAGAATTCTGTTAACTTTTGGTGTTTTGTTTCATTTATAGATAGGTTAATCATTTATAATGCTACTTTATCAAAAAGAGGAAACATCTTTTAGGTTTAAACTTCATCTAAACATCCAACCTGCTAAATCATGCTGTTGCTACCTGGTAGAAACTACAGGAGACCAGAAACAAAACCTTCTGTTTCTCTGCACATCTAACATTCTGATTAGTTTCTCTTCTTTTATCTTCTCTTCTTTTATCTTACCCAGAACCGTCACAAACACGCCCCCAGCCGGTCACACAGACTCACAGACCCTGTCTTGCACTGGCTTTTTTGAATTTCACAGAAAACAAACAAATGTAACATTTCCAGAGGGGTCCAGCCTGCTGGACACTGGGTCCGTTGTTTTAAAAGTGACATGGTAGAAAAGCAGAATCTGGAATTGAAAGTGTGAGCACATTTTGGATTGATGCTTCTTTAGGACACCTCGTTGGTCCACTTTGTGTCTTCGTTGTGTACTCCCACGGCGTGACCCAGAGGTGGTCCTGCTGCTATATCAGATCAGATCCTGGGCAAGGTTCCGGATAACAGTAAAAGCTCCGAGGTCGAAGCCTGAAATGCTGAGCAAGCCTCGGTCCTCCGTGTCTGCGATGGCGTGTCCGTTGGAAGTCAGGCCGCACATCACCAGCTTGGAATTGGCCCCTGACACCTGTTGGATAACAACAGAAGAAAAATATTGAATCTATTAATAGTCAGTTACAAGCAGATCTTCAGATATTTCATGGTTGGCTTCAAAATAATCTTTTGTCAATTAATGTTAAAAAACTGTGTGCA